ACTTATAAGGGTAAGTTTTAACTTGGCTTAAATGTGGGCATATCAAATTTCCGTTCAAGGTTGTTTGAATGCTTAAAATGCTACTACGGAATAGTTTGCGCGTGATTGTGTTCATCAACTCCAAAACGTGACGTGTCTGCTGACATACAGCCAAAACATTCATTGTAAATGTCTATGGAGAGGACGATATTGAACATTGTATAATGCATGGCACACTGAAGGCTTCATGCGCTGTAACTTACATTCACTTCACGTTAATACGATTATGCGCCGTGACCGGGTATTTTGTTAAATTTTTCTTACTTTTTAGCAACACCACCTTTTTTCCTACCTTAGGTTTTCCGTTTGCATTTAGAGACTGAAGATGGAGAATTTTTTAAAGAATGGTTAACCTTCTGACCATTCCAGTATGATTTCACTTGGTTGAACAGCATCTTTATAAATGTTTATTATGTGGAAAACACGCAAACACGATTTCTTGTAATTAATCTTAAAGTCAGTCGTGAATTGTTTAGCACTCAAAAAAGATAATTTCATTTAATCATTTCTTCCAAACGTCTTCTGTAAAATTTGCCACTTTACTAAGACAGCTACAAGAAAACAATTCAGAATGTATAACCCCGCCTTTATTGTAACAGCTATGTTAGGCACCACCATAAATAAAACGTTATTTGACTTATAATTAAATGGCTGCACATACATCTGGTAGCGAAATTTAGACTTGCCCACTGGCAGATATTTTGGCCATCGATCATACTATAGTGCATGCTTATAGATATTCAGATGTTGTGCTCCAGTCCAAGATTACAGACTCTGAGCTCTTGCCGCTTCCAACAATAAAAGTGATTCTAATAATGCATTTTATGTCAACCAAAAGAAGATGTGGGACAATATGCTGACAGCATAAGTGTGCAAAACTGGTACTGTGGAATGTAAGGGGAGATAAAGTTCTAATTTCTAAAGGTGTTTGCGTAGAAGCCCATAGAAGTGTCAAATAGTTCTATTTCATTTCGTTGAATATCATCTACTTCAGCTAAAGCTAATAGACTTCATGGATTTTATTTAGTTGGTTAATTAATACCGCGAAACCGAAAATCAGATTGCCGACATGTTTAGAAGTACATAACACTCAATCGCCAAGATTTTTTGTCACCTTTAAAGCTGATCTCATAAAAACGAAACAACAAATGACGAAGTTAAGTCAAAGATAAAATTTAAGTGCAGAAAAATGTCCCTAAATATATGATTGCACTGAGTCCCCTTGGTTATGGGAGCCTAAAAGTCAAAAAAGACATAATGAAAACATCAATAGACAAAAGTAATCCGTTATGCAAAGTAAAAATGCAGAGGGTAAGTATGCACCTGCAATATACTGTGGGAGGAGGCGATATCCTACGTTAGCAAAAATTTGTCAAAGTGATTTCAAGGCATTATTAATGGGACAAATGAACGCATGAACGCAAAGTGTACAAGGAATATAGACAAAAATTAATGATTCCAATTGTTGGCCCTTCTGACAGGATGAGGATATTCAATAGCGCAAATATTGAGCAAAGCTGATTGCCTCAATAGGATTAATTTGTTAAAATCAAATGATTTTGTAATGAATTCATAAATGGCATCCGTTTTGTTGTCTAATCGGGTTC